GGGGGGGGGAATATACTGAAAACGGACCTCGGGAAGAGGTAAACCGATGAGTAGAGTTTGGATATGTTTACGGACCTTTCTGGCTTGACAAGTGAGGCAATTTTTGGCACACAGATGGACAGCATCTCGAATATTTTACATATGAAATGACCGGTGATCCCTTTGGCTTCGAATGAATGCTTGGATGAGACAAATCCGGCGTTGAATTTTCCCCGAGAGCTGTTCTTGGGATATTTGCAACCTGTCTAGCATTTCTTGGCATCCTCTCCTTACGTTCTGTAATAGTAACATGTGTCGTAAATGTTGAGAAGGGATGCGATTCCTTAATTCAACATGTGAAGGAGTTTCTCTCGGGAGGTGTTCAGAAAACTGATGACCACTTTCGTAAGGGTGTCATGAAGGTTTTTCTCTGACTGCTTGGAGATGTTGTTGTTAACCAATGATGCGACGTTGACAGGTAGTGCAACCATTCCAGTTGACGAACCAATTAAGTTCAATGTAAGCGGGCAATTCTAGCGTACCAAAACGTTTAATATTTAGTTTAAATGGATAGATATAAGAATCTTGTCAAGGATGTTCATACTGAAATATGAAAAGAGCATCCATTAATAATTTCTGGCACTATGAGCGTTTGTTTGCGAAGCAGATTAGAGGATGTTTTATTTGCCGATTTAATTATAAATGCGCCCTGTCATTTATAAAACTCAATTCCCGAACCTTTCCCGGCAAAGTATAAGACAAAGTATAGAGGATAATGCACAAAAATGCATGACTCCTTCCAATTAAAAGATTCATATGAGAAAAAATTGAATTTCTCAAGATCCGACTGATAGAAATGTACAATTTTTTTCCAAATCTAACAAATTTTCCACTTGATATATCCCTTCCCCCTCCCCACTCTTTTATTGCAGCAAAAAATGATTTATTCGTCATCCATCTTGAATCTTTGTAGCACCATTTTTTCCACTTTCCCCATCTCTTTATCGATGGAGCAAAAGTGTTTTCCATTTCGCATAAAGTTACCAAAATTTGGGGTGGGGTAGACTTGAAGACTGGCGTTGTGTTCTATTGCCACCAGTCACAGAGCGATGAATACCGTAAGTTTGGCGCCATAGAGGAAGAAATGAGAAAAAGGAAGGATGTGAGGCGAAATGGAAGCAACTCGTTGCCTTCTTAGCAAAGGAAGAAGTTAAGAGGAAAGGGGAGAGATGGGAGCCATTTCACTATTGCTGGAGGTACTTGCTGAATGGGGTGGAGGGGTGGAGGGGTGGAGGGGGGGGGGTATTTGGGAGGATCTGCTTTTCCTACAACTGTCAGATTGGTGCAATGAGATTTACATGAACTTTTTGCTTCCCCCAATTCACGTGAGTCATATATATTAAGGAAGAACGGGTGAGAAAAGCACTAAACAGAACCTAATGCACCAAGTTACCTTGCCGACAACTATACTCCCCACCTAAAATATACTTCCTGTAAAATGTTATCGGTTGCTTGCTTCAAGTAAAATTCGAACTGAGGCGGTAACCTAAAAAATCGACTGCTTCCTGTCAAAAGTGCATTGTATTGAAGTGTCATATTAGTGAGTAAAGTAAACGAATACCCTTTGGGAATTGAGTATTCAGAGATTAAAATGGAGTTCTTATTCCGAACCTTTATTTATTTCTATCTAATGGCAGGCTTTATGATAGTTACCATTAGCCCTTTAGTTGACTTCGGCCATCACAGGGGTGAGGAACATCAAAGTCACAAAAAGTCGAGAGGGTGAACAGAAGAGTGATTCACAGATGTTAAAGAAGCAGAGACAAAGATAGAGAATAAGGAAATGTGAGATGAGTACTGTGGAAGTGGCCGAATATAACATACTGTCGGATTATGGTAGTATGAAGTTAGAAGTCAACTACCGGTTTTTAGACTTTTTTGCCGTATGAGTATACTTTGCCTAGGATGTACCACATGGAGGTAAGTCTATCTCATATAACCCTTGTCCCGAACATGAAAGCTCGTATACTTGAAAGTAGTCTTGTACGTCCTAGACAGGAGAAAAGGTAATCAGATAGTTTCCTGCGGACATGAGCAAAATTAGACATTTTTTAAGTGTATGGCAATCGTTAAGGACCAGATAAGATATAGTCCAACTTCCATATTTGCCTTAAATACCATCACCTAATTCAAAATCCCTAGCAAATGCACAAAGGGTAAATTCTGGCATATAGAGTTTAAGTATGCAAATGTCTATAGAGTTTGCAAGTTCTAATCGAAACATTTCCTGGCGTGCACAATTCAGATGAAAATTTTAATAGACTAAATGCATTGACTTTGTTGTGTTGAAAAGCAAATATGGCGGCTTTTGAATGATTTTAAATGCAGCAGGTTTTTTTGTGTCTAAAATTCAAAACAGTTTACTACATTTTATTTGAAGCAAATAAATGATAGTCATTTAACATTTATAAGAATTAAAATGCATGACATCTAATACCAAAATTGTTTCTTTAAACTTGAATAAAAGAATTATGTGATTTAGATAATGACGTTAATAATAAGCATTTAGATTAGTGGGATTTAAGCAACAAATGTATAAATAGCATTAAAATTATGCAAATATTAATAAGTAATACTCACTTCTGATTGGTAGAATTTTGGTAATAGTAACCAATTTCGTTAAAATCTTCTAATCGGCATTTAGATGTCGACTTTATGGAAGTCTGAAACTTCAACAACCAGTATATTAAAACACGTGCCACAAAAAATCAATAATCTTATGCTGTCTACCACGTCTAAGGGTAGTGGCTCATCGGCGAATAAAAAGCTTGATAATTAACTTAATTATTCCATAAATATTTAATGGATAACAATAAATCAGATGTTCCAGACAGTTTAATCAATATTTTACAAGATTTTACGATGGCGGTACTTCGAAACCGGCCTGCAAATATTCCAAGATTCGCTGTCGAGTATTTTACTGAATTAATGGCTAGTGAAGAAGGAAGCGTCGGCATTGAACATACACAACCATCGATATCGATTCATTCAAAAAACATAAGTGAAATAAGTGAAGGTGAAATCATAGATGACAATAAAACACAAAGACTATTAGAAGAAGCCGCAAAAAGACCATCACAAAGAAGAAATAGTGTTACTGCGGAGCCTTTCAATCCAGAAGATGAAGAGGAAATAAACAGCGGGGAACACGAAAAACACGACGCCAGTTTCTACGAAAAGACTCCAAAGCAAATTGAACGTCTTATGGAAGTCTGCCGAAGGATCGTCCTCTTCAGTGAGCTCGATGATAGTGAACTGACAGAATTGATTAATGAAATGTTTATGAGGGCCGTTTCTCCAGATGAGGATATTATTCAACAGAATGATGATGGTGACTACTTCTATGCTATCGATTCTGGGAAATACGAGGCGAAAATAGCTGATACTGAGAGTGGCATCCAGAAGGTTGTAATGGTTTATGACAATGAGGGCTTCTTTGGTGAATTGGCCCTCATGTATAACTCTCCGCGAAGTGCTACAGTAACTGCTCTAACTGAAGGCATACTATGGGGTCTAAGTAGGCATTCTTTTAGAAAGCATGTTCTAACGCATGCAGCAAAGCGTCGAAGATCATTCGTTGAACTTTTACACTCAGTACCCATACTTCATGACCTAACACCTTATCAACGAACATCATTGGCGGATAATCTACGGAGAAAAGTAGTGAAACAGGGTGAGCTTATTATTCGAGAAGGTGACCCAGGTGATGCTTTGTACTTTATTATGGATGGATTTGTTGTCGTCAGGAAAAAGGTTGATCAAGAAGAAATTGAGGTCAATAAAATTGGAAAAGGGGGCTATTTTGGTGAACTGGCACTACTGGTCGAAAAGCCGAGAGCTGCCAGTGTTTATGCTGATACAGATGTCGTACTTGCCAGTCTGGGTGTCAAAAGCTTCGAGAGACTACTTGGACCCTGTATTAGCCTTATGAAGGATAAAGCACTGGAATACAAGGCTTACACAGATGCGATTTGAGGTCATTTGCTGTTAATTTATTATTATTATTATTCATCAGTTGACTGTTATTGATTTTGATTAAGATAAATTTTATTTTGAGCTCGATTTCTGCTGAAATGTTTAAGTATTAGTTTGACAATGAAGTTCACGGCTTAGAAGAAAAACAAAGAATCCGCCAAAGTATTTTGTTTTCATTGTATTAATTATCCTCTATTATTGTTAGTAAAAAGTTAAATACTAGTTTAACGAATTTTAAAGTATAAGCAAATTTTGGTTTTTAAGGAATAAGAGGTGCGCGGAATAAATTTAAAAGCATTTTATTACTTATTTATTCCAATATAATTAATCCTTTATTCTTGCCAAAATTTAATTATTGAAATCTAAAGCCAAAGTTTGCACAACGGCATCGAACTAAGCCTTAAATACCTCTAGCCAAATGACTCTTCCAGACAAAGGTGGTTCGCAGTTCAGGATCGAAATCGTTTCGTCCTCTTTGACATAGGATATCTTTTTGCCTCTCGTTCATTTTGCACGCGTTCTCAAGAATTTCTGATAATTGAATTATACGGTATTGAATATTAATTGAAATATGCCGAAACCATTTACCCGTGTGCCTTAACCCAGAACTAATCTTGGGCAGGAGCGTAGAATCTCTTGGCTTTCCAGTTGGAAACTCAAATTCCACCATTCTATTTTCGTAAGTCTAAATCACATTCCATCGTACTCATATTGGGCTTCAATCAACATCCTACTCACAATTTCTGATTTCCATGACGTATTCTGCACTTCACCTCACAATAAAATTTTCCCTCAAATCCGTTTGATTGGAGTATAATCTTACTCAATAGCCTAGATTTACATTGTTTTTCCATTGAGAGAGTCGGAGCCTAGTCTCTTTCACTTCATTGTACTATATTGTCATTAATTATTGTTTAAACGATGCCGCATATCATAGCTAGGAGGATGACAGTATGTAATAGGAATTGGTTAGTGTTGTGTAGTTAGTGTCGAAATTTTGATATATATATATATATATATATATATATATATTTGTATAAATATATTTCTTCACATAAAAGCGCCCTTCATTTCATATCGATTTGAGTTTGATTCTATTGGTTTGCCCAATCACTCGTAATTTTACCAATGAGAATCATGCAATTTACTTAAGATGTGATCTTGCTGGTTCCTTGCTATTTATTTCCAATGAGTTAAAATGCAATATTTTCAAATCACTATCTTATTTATTATTGATATATATATATATATGTTTATCCAGATTCGAATTACCAATTCTAATGTAAATTCCCATTTAGTGGAGTCATTTCCCGTTGCACTTTGAAATGCTAGCCAGTTGATCTTGATACCGCAAGGCTTTTCAAACCCAGATTAACTTCATTATTGAAAGGTAAAAGTGCAATTCCTAGGGTCTCTCCATTGCCCAATTTTCCACAATCACCCCATTTGTCCAAATTTCACATCACCATCCATAAATTTATAAGTAAGCAAACTGGGAAATTTTTTATTTGAATATTGCGGAGGTAACTTTTAAGTAACTTTTTATTTTATAGTTCTCCAAAAAAACGTTCAACCCTCACTGAAGTATTACTACCATACAGTACACAAAAAATTGTTAGAAACTCTTGGCAAATTACAAATAACCGAATTTTTACTTCGAGGGCTGTCAGACCATCAGTTTAAGAATACAGCTTCAGGAAACCAAGGAAATCATGCTATTTGAAATGCTAAGTTAATTCTCATTTACCGCATATATCAGTTAATTGCACTTATCGATTTTGTTTTCAAAAAATGGACAGATATTCCCTTACTTATTTGACATAACTAGAAAGTCCTTTTAATGTTGGCCCAATACGTCGTTATTGTCACCTTCATGCAATAGTTGCACTAAATATATTTTGGCAAAACTTACTTCCACATACGTCAGTAAGCGGTGTGAATCAATCAATAATTTCTTGCAATAATTCACCATGTCAACGCACTTACCAAATGTGATTATATTACGTAGGCTGTTTACAAGTCTGACTCACAATGAGTCATGCCTGTCCGAGGAGTAATGTATCCATTATCCTTGCTGTTCCCTTCTTTTGCAGAACAAGAATATCGTGGTGGATAAATGTGAGCAGGACCTATCTAATGGAAGATTAATGGAAAGGTAATTAGCTAATAAAATCGCAAGAATATTTAAATGTCTTGAAACTTACCCTCCTCACTCCCCCCTTCCCCCCCCCCCCCCAAGTTATAAGGAGAAAGTGATACCTTGTTCCTGGTCCACTTACTTCCCCTATTGTCTAACAGTACGCTGTTCTCTTGTAATTTTCTGGCTTTATAATACCTAATTACTGATAAATGAATCACAACCAATAGTCTATTTTAAAGTAAATGTTGACTTTGGGTGGTTCAATATTTCCAGTATTAAAGCTGTCCACAGTGTACTTCATTCATGATTGATTCATTTATATTTGGCGTGTGTGAAAGACTTACCTCCACGTGGTGTACCCTGGGCAACGTATACTCATACGGCAAAAAAGTCAATAAACCGGCAGTTGACTTCTGACCACAAACTACCATGACCCCACTGTATGTCATAGTCGACCACTTTCACAGCACTCATCTTGGCCTTTCTCTGCCTTTGTATCTGTCTCTTTTACATCTTTGAAACCCTCTTCTGCCCCCCGCCCATCTCGACTTTTTTTCCCCATTGATGTTCCTTCCTCTCTGTGAAGCCTGAAGTCAACTAAATGGCCAATGATAACCATCAAAACGCCTGCCATTTGTTATAAAATAAATAGTTATCCAACGTTAAGGGGGCTATACTGTCAAAATCTGAATAAAGGAATACAGCTTACACTAGACAAATCTAGTTGCCGGACGTGTCGGGACTTCTTCAACCCCCTTTCCCCTATGTGAGACCTTAATGTCGGCCGATTTTATCATTTAAGACCCGTTTAACTTGGACTGAAATGAATGAGAAATTGATCTGGCTACTGACTTCCAGTGATAGAAAATGACCTTCAATGTGTTTTTTAGTCAAAATACATTTTGTAAACCATCTCAAACATTTCATATCAGGTGAAAACACGCCTGTGAATACAAATACCTGTGCGATTGGGAGCAAATTTGTAATATTGATTGGCAATCGCATTTTATTCTTGCCGTCATTTCTATTATTTTGTTTGAAATTTCCACCTTTTAATATCAGATGATCGTGACAACTGCGTAGTAACATGTTGTTATAATTCGAACAGCACACATTCTTTTCCTTGCATACTGTGTCAAATATTTACCATTTTACCACGAATGGCAATCGAGGGGTTGTTGAGTTAGACAGTAGGACCCTAAGGATAGCATTAACGAGGCTATCGTAAGATATAGGGTGGAGTGGTGAACGCTTATTTCAAGTTGCCTATATATTCGACGGGGGGTATGCGATAGACTTACCTCCACGTGGTACATTCTGGGCAACGTATACTCATACGGCAAAACGTCTATTATTTGACAGTTGACTTCCGACTTTAAACTATCTTCACCCCACTGTATGTCATATTCGACTACTTTCACAGTACTCAACTCAATCTTTTTTTCTACCTTCGTCTTTGAAACACTTTTCTGTCCCCCTCCCATCTCGAAGTTCTTTCACTTTGATGTTCCTTCCCCTCTGTGATGCCTGAAGTCAACTAAAGGGCTAATGATAACCATCAAAACGCTTGCCATTTGATATAAATAAATATATTCAACGGAATGACTGCGCTTATAACTACCTAAATACTATTTCAACAATATAATTTGCTCGGATCTTCCAATACTGCGTGCAACTAGACTAAAATACGACCCTTCTGAACGTTATATCAAAAGCATGCATAAAACTATTTCCCACTTTTTATTTAAGGGAAAAATCCCATGGTTATTCATTGCCAAACTGTTTTATGGACTCATGGTATCTTCGCCACCATTGTTTTTTTCAACATGGTGGTACATAATAGAATCATATCAACACCCTCAAGCAGTCGTCAGTGAAATAGAAGTGTGTGGAGAAATTTCATTTGCTGACTAGAAACGGCGTGCAGTTGATGGAAGCTTTGGCGTCCCAGTGGAAATGAAATTTGTCTTCGAGGCATTTACTGGCTGAGGCTTCCTCAGTTGGCGTGACTGAGGCGCAATAATAATAATAATAATAACGCGTAAAAAGAAGTAAAATATGAAATATTTCACAGATTTACACTTTGAATTGAATAACGCGAAAAAGAATTTTATGAAATAACGAAATTATTTGCCCCATTTTATTTGTTATCTAAAAGAAAACGTTTGGAATGCTATATAGTTTCCTTCAGTTGAAAATTGCCTAAGTAGGTAACAGGCAGATTGAAAGGCTGACAATTTCTGTTATCCTCAAGATAGGGATTTACAGGGTTTGAACTCAATTTAAGAAAAAGACAAACATTGCATAACTACAAAACGAAACTTAGACTGAGATACTTTGTGTTAATTTGTAATTTCTGTGAACTATTCTACTGGTGAAGCCACCGTCCTGTTTAATGCAAGTTCTATTTTATTAAATTTTCATATTTCAATGCATATAACATTACTGGGGGGGGG